TTCCATGCAGTGTTCAAGACTGATAGCAGCGAAACCAAAAGAGGTTTTCTAATTAGATACTATGAAAAAGCTGGTGAGAAAAGTCATGACCCTATCTCTGCAGCGTCAGTCTAAAATCTCTATTGCATGTACCGTAAAATCTCTAAATTACCAACCTGGTTGTTTTTCTACCTTGACAAGATATTTATATGAGCATGAACCAATAGGTAATAGCAGATGTCGTCAATAATATGAAACTGTCTCTAATGTTTGCACTTGCCTAAATGGTTAAAGACATCAAAACATATTTGAACCACTTCAAAAGTACAACATGATCATCCAGTGCAGATCTCTCAGTCTTTATTCAAAACGAAGCAGTTCTTGCAATGATGGCGTGGTTCTTTCGTTTAATAACGTAGATTCGTTAGCGCCGGCTTGACTAAATTCAACACGCATGATTCTTACATGACATCGTTGAATCTTTCAAAATCAGTAAAAAATACAAACTTGCCCTGGCTGAGTTTCATTAATGTTACGGGTGATACAAATTGTACCCTTGTCACAACCAGGCACCGGAACCTGCGGTGTACCTCTCGTTGCAACTTCTGTCGGCAAGACATTTACCTCGCCTGGATATCCAAACACCTACTTCCTGTGAGTAACTGAACTACTGCATCGGTTAAAAGAAAGACTAGAGTTTCTTGTATTTGTAGCCCAGTGTTTAAAGTTACATAAATCAAGAGAGAGGATGTGTTGGATTTATAATCAAGCTTTCAACAATATTTTAATTCAAACTTAGTCATGCGTGCTCATCTGTACACACTCATGCGTTTGTATGTGTGCATCTTTCGAACCATTCGGCAACATTATATGCATCATTTATGTAGCAATTAACAACAAATGGGTCTGTTTGCAGGCGTCAGACTTGTACCTGGACTATTACAACAGAACATCAAAACCAAACCATTCAATTGGACACCATGGACTCGATACTTCAGAACATCTCATCTCGTGAAACTTGTGACAACGATTATGTCACTGTATACAGCGGTCAGTACGGTAAGTAGAGACGTGTACATGCTTGTTTATTACGTAAAAAAGACGATCTGATGATGATGACTGAAGAGATACATTTTCTGTGTTTGTACAACGACATTCTACGTAGACAATCAAGCGGATATATTAGTTAGTGTCTCTGCAAAGGTCTCCGTTCAATAACTGTATACTCAAACGCAAAAAGTATTGTGACACATAATTAACAAACAAAATCAGTGTTAATATTAAAATTTTAAATATAGTGGAAGGTATAAATAATAATATACGCCTTTTGATATTTCCTGTCATATATCTTTATATGCGATCATTGATGATCCCGAGGTAAATGCTTTTGATATAAACGATTATGCTAACTGCCGAATGGGCAGAAAAATTGAAGGCATCTTTTAATACCAATAAGACAGAGTCAATACGCTTTACTCGTAAATTGCAACCAAGTCCAATGCCTAATCTAACCATGACTGTTAATGCCATTAGTTCCGTTCAAAGCCATAAAAATTAAGAACTTATCAGCATGACTGCTCATGAACGACTGTGCTAAAAAAGTTGCACCAATGGTGAATTGTCAAAGAAGTCTCAAATATCGTTTAAACCAAACAAATTAGAAACCATGTACAAACAGTTTATATTACCAGTTGTTTTATTACTGCAGTCATATATGGGACAATTGTACTAAACAACAAGCAGATATACTTGAAAAGCTCAATCTTGATGCTCTAAGAACCGTGAGTGGTAACAGCCATCATAAAATATACAATGAAACTAATTGTCACCCGTTGTGTCGTAGAAGATACGTTCATAAAATGATTATCTTTTACAAAATGGTCAATAACACTACGCGAAGTTATTTTAGTAACCTTGTTCCGCCTAGAGTATCAGCTGTCGTTGGTTATCTGCGCGATGATTTAAATCTTCAGACTCTAAACTGTAAATCTGTAATTATGCGAGGTCCTTACTTCCAGATGCTGTTAAATTATGGAATTCATTACCAGCCGAACATAGAGAATCACCGTGCCTATCGAGAATCAAAAATGTAACTTCATTTTGACCTTAAATTCCGGTAGCAGATTTTGTCAAATTATACATGCTCGTCTCCGACTTGAATGTAGTGACCATAATGCGTTCAAATATGAAAGATTTATATCTCCAACATCATCGTGTGGCCGTAACTCTGAAGATTCTGCTCATTCTTTCTTTTCATGTACTCTTTACAACAATATACGTCACATTATGCATTTTATAATCCTCACTTCACTGGGACCACAATACGTCGATGACAGTGATGGGAAGTTTATCTAATAATTACAGGAGGTGTTGGCGTCATTTCTGCAGCGTTGTTGGATGATTCGCATGACGTCGTAAACGTTGAACTATTTAATCCCAGACGTGTTCAGTGGGTGACAATTCAGGGGATCTTGCGGATCAGGGTAACACATAATGATTGTTCTTATTGAGAAACTGCTTTACAACTAGAGAAATGTATGGTGTGTTGTTATTGTGATGAAATCGCGGCAGGTCTGCTCTGTTGTAAAACCGCTAAAAAGGTCAGTTGATAAATTTCGTCTCAGTACTTCCCAGCATTCAAGTTCCTCTCCATCACCGGTGAATTCACGTCTAGAACCTTGGTTAATGTAACGTTCATGGGTCCTGTTGTAAGCTCGGTGAAAAAGTAAATATAACTTTCGGTGTACAGAACTGTCCTTCACTTGCTCCCTACCCAAGTGTTGTTTGCTATAACTGAGACGTCAATGTCGATATTCTGGCGCCAGCTTGCACGGATGCTATAGAGGCGAATACACGCCTGTTGCTATGTATGGTACGGACTGTAAGGGTTGCTTGCCTGAGCCTGTGTCCGAGCTGCGTGGCTCGAATCAGTTGTTCGAATACCTCCCCATCTGTCATTTTCCCTTGAAGCGTGTCATGTCGAATTTGTTCAACGAACAAGAACGATAGATAGTGATGTTGTTACGTTGCGTTTCTTCGACCATGTTAACATACTGGTAAAAATCCAAAACTTAATTCTCAAGTTTACCAATGAAAACATTTCATGTCACCTCTTAGTGTATTGGAATGGTCAAATGGAAGCTTTAATATTAAAATCATGCTGTCGTCAAGTTTGCACATAGTTGTTGGTCTTCGTCAAACTTAGATGATGGTATTAAAAGTTCAGAGAATCAATATTTCTGACATTGTTGATAATATAATGTTCTATTTAAGGTTCCTCCGGGCTCGGCACTTTCTGTGGCAACCAAAGCCTGTTTTAACAGCGGTGGGAACGCCTTGAGTGTTCATCCTAGAAACTGATTCATCACTTGAAACTACAAAGGATTCAAAATGCTATACAAAGCTATACCCAGGGTGTGTATGCATTAATCAGTTAAATTATAATCTAAAATACAGCCTTCGAGAAAGGCTATTAACGTTTTGATCTCCTTGCGAATTATATGTATCATGCACATTGATTTAATTTATTTACTTATCTTTTATTTACCAAAGCATGCAGGTAACAAAAGTACTGTAAGTCCCAATGGACCCAAGTATGGTGATCTACCTTGAGTTGCTGGTGATCCATGCCACGTTCTTATATTGCATTGTCCTCTTTAATAATATCATGATTACATGTTAGTTTTACCTTATCTGTGATACTCTAGTATATTTACTGTTCATCGTTAACAGTTTTCTTAAATTTGATTGATCTTCAGTGTGATCTTACATGGCTCGTCACGATATGGCTGAAATATTGCCGATGTGACAGTAAACCTTAACTAATTGACTTACGTTATTAGAGCACCCCGTTAATTCGCCTCATACAGTAAACTTGTGTATCAGTACAAAGTGAATAATGGAAGAAAACTATTTATCGCATATGTTTAACAAACTATAGTATACGTGTCGCTATATCAGTGCAGAGACGCCACGTCTAAGTATCCGGAGACTTGCAGTAATAACCCCAAAGTAGCATACAATGAAACTTTAGAGTGTCACATTTGTGTGTACAAGGTCCAGGAAGTATCAAGCGTTGGGAAATTGGTCTCCAAGGAAAGGACCCTAAGTTTGTGTTCAGCAAACTACCAATGAAAATGTGAGAAGATGGTAACTTCAAAGTAAACACACAGCTGCCAACTGTAAGGTTGTTGTTTAAATGACCAAAACTAGGATCATAAGAATAAAATAGATCATGATGGCAGTTCCAAACTCTCAATATTATTGTTCACTACATGTGAATGCATACTGTCATGTGAATACTGGGTCATTTGGTGCATGCAGTTAAGCAATAACAACACAATCTTTGTCATGATGAAAGTGTAAATAGTGTAAAATATTTTAGATTTTATGTTTATATATGTTTGTATGGCATTCTTGCCTCGCCTCCAGAAATGCTGCACTTCATTAGTTTCGTATACCAACTATGTTTGCCTATGATGACAACATTAGCTGTCAGTTTAGACACATTTTGTTTATGCATTATTTCTGTATGAATCAATTGTTGACAGAAATATGAATTCGAAAAAAACTGTAAACGGGATTTGTTAGATTTATTTATAATGCACTTTTGGTAGCAGTATGTACAAAATGGTAAATGATAAATGTCTATAAAATACGCCAATAATTCACGAAACAAATGTTTATGTTTGCCTCCCATTGTAACTGATGTCAACACTGCTGACATTAATGCCCGAAAGGTCAGCTCAAAAATGTTTTTGTTTTCTGATGCATTGAAGATTATACAGATAACAACAGTTGCCCGGCCTTGATTAATTTAGTTTTCATAAGGGAACCCTCTTGAGAGTTTAAGCAATACTTTTGTCTTTCGTAAAAAAATGTCTGGGCCCATAAGAAACATACTAACACCACCCTGCATCCCCAGCCCCCACCCACCCATACACACCCCACACACCCCCTCCAACCGTGGTAAAACAACAACAACCAAAAATTTTACAATTGCTACTGTTCTCCATTGTCAGCAACAACGTGCAACTTCACGCTTCCCGCAGGTTACAGTCCGATGGTGATTGTCTCCCCTGGCTATCCAAACAACTATGTAAAGTAAGTAAAATCTTGGATACAGTTCGTCGGATCAAAATATGTATACACATATAGATACACATCTATATATATATATATATAGAGAGAGAGAGAGATACACCGCGCCTTAATAATGTCACCAAATTTATATACGTATTTTATCACGTTTAACCAATATGGATATGAGGCAAGTGTTTCTGTTTCAGAATATATTTCCCTTTCCTTGCAGTGGATTGGACTGTCAGTGGACTATAAATGCACCGATAGGAAGAAACATCGCGGTGGAAGTTCTGTTTGTAGATTTGGGAAAAGTGTCATCGTGCGTGGATGATTATCTACTGTTTAAAGATGGTAGGTAAAACAAGGATGCATGTTGTGTTCCTCTTGGTATTGAGTAAAACAGTTGTAGCTAAAGGTATTTGACCTCCGTGTGGTAACAAGGAAAACAAGATTGCAATCTGGATATTTTCATGATCACTACTTACATATACTCTACTCTAAAGAAAGAAGTGATACTAGTATATAAAAATTCAAATATTTATTTTAAAATTATTGTTTGACCGTTTTGATGTCGGTGTTATAATGCTAGTTTTTGAACATGGAATGAATGCACAGCATTAAAACTTATCTTCGGAAAGTTGCACGTTTACGTTCGAAAGTGTCAACTTGCTTGAAAATGGCATGGAGAAAAAGTGGTTCGCTATATGCACGTGAAGTTCTGAGGAATTGTGACTGTGGGCAGGGACACTGACAATATAAGGCCGTATTGATTTTTGACGATCACTGGCATTTTAGCTAAATGAAATATTGCCACTAGACGTCTGGAGATTGGTGAGTTTCAATCTGCCGTTGCATGTCACCTCAATGCTTACTAGAGTACTATCAGTGGTTTGTGGGTGAGTGAGTGAGTGAGTTACGAATTAACGTCACATCGGCAGTATTTCAGCCATATCGTGACGAGAACATATTAGATACTGAAATGGAACATGTGTATATTATATAAACCTGTCATCAAAGGACAGTAAAATAACTAGTATATCACAATTAGAATTAAAACTAGCGTGGAAAGTTAAAACTAATAGCAGTATTTGGACAATACAATATAAAAAACAGCTATATATCACCAATAACTGAAAGTAGATCACCATACTAGGGACCATGGGGATTTACAGTACCTTTGCTACCTGCATGGACCCTAGTTGGATTTACACCATCCCTTCAGCTGCTGGCGATTGTAATGATTTGTGGAATCTTCGAAAGATGTTCAGCTGTGCTTAGTTTGAGGAGGGTGTCAGCGCAAACCATTTCTACATGTTTATGAGAATGTGGATTCCGAGCCAGAAGACCATATTTTGGCCACTGCTACGACGGTTCAAATGGTGTAATAACGTTCGAATCTGGCATCTGAAAAGTGGCGACGTGTATGGATTAGTGACGAATCACGCTTACTGTTTCTTTAGTGCAATGACGGAAGAGTACGTATCTATCAAAGTCGAAAGGAATCTTGTTTTGCCAGAGTTGTGTCGCCAATGTTGTCCGATATGGTGGTGTGAGTGACATGATGTGGGGAGCTATATCCTTCACACAGAATCGAACTGTGCTTTCGGTACAGAGACGAAACCTTTCAGTGGTTCCGATCACTGACCGCAAGAGGCAGTTGTTACAGCACGATAATGTCTATTCAGTATCTTTAGAATGAGAACATTACAGTGCGTCCATGGCCTTCCAAATCGCCCTACCAAATCTTCCTCGAGCATTTGTGGGATGATCTCGGCCGACGCGTACGTGAACGTCAACCGTCGCCCCATGTGTTATATGAGTGAGTGAGTGAGTTACTATTTAACGTCACATCGGCAATATCTCAGCCATATCGTGACGAGAACATATTTGACATTGAAATGTGTTATATGAACTGTCGCAGGCATTACATGAAGAATGGTCAAGAACAAGGTCGAATTAAAAGATTTATTGAACTTTTATAAGCTTGACAGACAGTTAATGTTTTAAACTGTGAAATTTAGCAACAACTGATCCAGTTGTGTTATCTCACTTTAAAGTTAGCAGACTAATTTTTGTTTTAAATACACCATGTGTTTCTTTTTTGGGAGAGTATATTTGCGGCATGTTTTAAGAACTTAACTGCAATATGTCTTTCAGAATATTGGTTTCGAAGAGATCGGAGATTTTCTAGATAATAACGTATTCACCACTTTGCACTCAGGATTCATGCCGGGGGATGGTACTGTATATCAACTGACATACTTGTATGATTTTATACCACGTGCATTAAACAATGGCAGAGAAGTCAGGTCAGTTTTCTGCGACATTAGCAAGGCATTTGACAAGACACAGTGAAATTAGAAGCTAATGGTAGTAAGAGTAATTTACTTGATTGGTTTTCCAGTTATAAGTATTGTAATCAGCCGTGTTGTCACAACCTAGCTGTTTTGTCAAAATACAGCCTTATTGTCACAACCAAGATTTACTCGCACCCAGCATTTTTGTCACAACTCTGCTTTATTGCGAAAATGAGGCTTATTGTCACCCAGCCTTATTTCCCAATCAAGTGATCTGCTGTTACAAACATCACGTGTACCTGAATTCAAAGCAAGAATTCCATTACGAATATTTGGTACAAACAAACTATAGGAAAATATGCAACCCTCACTACTAAAAAGCGAAATCAATATTCTGTTACAATTATCGAAATCAAGTAATCGGGAAAGGTTCGTGTTATCAGCTGTAATCGATGATGATATAGTGTATGCCAAATTGTTGGATTTCTAACAGTGATCATAACTGAGTCACATTTTGATGTTACCTTAAAGAAAAATCTTGTTCTCTTCGTATATCTTCAGTATTTATTTAATGTTATATCGAATCTTAGATACGAATAATTCACTTACGACATTTCATATTCGAGAGAATGTCTTCTAATTGTACACTGAAGACATCGTATACATAATACTACATTCATTAATTAATTGAAGATGCACAATTAATACATTTACGTTTCAGGTACGACGACCGATGCTCAGCAACTGGCAAAGATTTGTGATAGTAGGTCTACTCCCATCGTCAGCTCCAGTAACCATATGACCATCATGTTTCACTCAGACAGTACTGTCACAGGAGGAGGCTTTCGTTTGCGGTACTCATCTGGTAATACTTTTACCACCTGCTTTTAACTGTTTTGTGCATACTTGATGACCAGAAAAATATCAGGTCGAGAAAAAGGTACAATATCGATGATCAGAAAAAACGACCACAGAGATCCATTATGTGAGAAACATTTGTCTGTTTTTACCCTGTTCCCCATAAGAGGATCTTTTAACTTAAACATTTTGAATCATCAGGTTGAGCGCCCATACGAATAACTCATCTGTCCTCACCTGATGAGAGTTCAGTGCACCCTGTTTATAAATTTAACAGGCAGATTTGATCCAAAATAATTCTATTTATATGACATTTGCGTTTTTCTCGTTTTTGCGTTTTTTATTTAATTCAAATTGTACATTCATCACGACATGTTTACTCTTCCTTTCATTGTATCCCGGATCGGTATTCATATATGCTTATGCTTGTTTACCAATCCGGTTGCTTTCATTGGAAATAAATAATGTTTAAATCAGCTTTAAACTACCGTGAAAGACAACTGTTTCAAGGACTGTAACAACCAACAGCCAATAAAAACAGGGCATTTGGCACGTGGAAATGAGCCTCAAACCAAGAGGGAATCTTACGCTCATTACCGAGTGTATCAACTTTGTGCATTAATGCTGGCCTGGCATCCCTACTTCACTGGGACCACAATACGTCGATGACAGTGATGGGGAAGTTTATCTAATACCACAGGAAGCGTATTTGGCGTCATTTCTGCAGCGTTGTTGGATGATTCGCATGACGTCGTAAACGTTGAACTATTTAACTCTGTGACGTGTTCTTTGGGTGACAATTCAGGGATCTCTTTGCGGATCAGGGTAACACATAATGATTGTTCTTATTGAGAAACCGCTTTACAACTCGAGAAATGTATGGTGTGTTGTTATTGTGGGATGAAATCGCGGCAGGTCTGCTCTTGTTGTAAAAGCGCTACAAATAGGTCAGTTGATAAATTTCGTCTCAGTACTTCACAGCATTCAAGTTCCTCTCCATCACCGGTGAATTCCCCGTCTAGAACCTTTGGCCTAATGTAACGTCTATGGGTCCTGTTGTAAGCTCGGTGAAAAGTAAATATAACTCTGGATGTACAGAACCGTCCTACACTACCCAAGTGTTGGGTCTGCTATAACTGAGACGTCAATGTCGATATTCTGGCGTCAGCTTGCACGGATGCTATAGAGGCGAATACACGCATGTTGCTATGTATGGTACGGACTGTAAGGGTTGCTTGCCTGAGCCTGTGTCCGAGCTGCGTGGCTCGAATCAGTTGTTCGAATACCTCCCCATCTGTCATTTTCCCTTGAAGCGTGTCATGTCGAATTTGTTCAACGAACAAGAACGATAGATAGTGATGTTGTTACGTTGCGTTTCTTCGACCATGTTAACATACTGGTAAAAATCCAAAACTTAATTCTCAAGTTTACCAATGAAAACATTTCATGTCACCTCTTAGTGTATTGGAATGGTCAAATGGAAGCTTTAATATTAAAATCATGCTGTCGTCAAGTTTGCACATAGTTGTTGGTCTTCGTCAAACTTAGATGATGGTATTAAAAGTTCAGAGAATCAATATTTCTGACATTGTTGATAATATAATGTTCTATTTAAGGTTCCTCCGGGCTCGGCACTTTCTGTGGCAACCAAAAGCCTGTTTTTAACAGCGGTGGGAACGCCTTGAGTGTTCATCTAGAAACTGATTCATCACGAAACTACAAAGGATTCAAAATGCTATACAAAGCTATACCAGGTGTGTATGCATTAATCAGTTAAATTATAATCTAAAATACAGCCTTCGAGAAAGGCTATTAACGTTTTGATCTCCTTGCGAATTATATGTATCATGCACATTGATTTAATTTATTTACTTATCTTTTATTTACCAAAGCATGCAGGTAACAAAAGTACTGTAAGTCCCAATGGACCCAAGTATGGTGATCTACCTTGAGTTGCTGGTGATCCATGCCACGTTCTTATATTGCATTGTCCTCTTCAATAATATCATGATTACATGTTAGTTTTACCTTATCTGTGAGGCTCTAGTATATTTACTGTTCATCGTTAACAGTTTTGTTAAATTTGATTGATCTTCAGTGTGATCTTACATGGCTCGTCACGATATGGCTGAAATATTGCCGATGTGACAGTAAACTTTAACTAATTGACTTACGTTATTAGAGCACCCCAAGTTAATTCGCCTCATTACAGTAAACTTGTGTATCAGTACAAAGTGAATAATGGAAGGAAAACTATTTATCGCATATGTTTAACAAACTATTGTATACGTGTCGCTATATCAGTAGCAGCGACGCCACGTCTAAGTATCCGAGACGTGCTGTAATAACCCCAAAGTAGCATACAATGAAACTTTAGAGGTCACATTTGTGTGTACAAGGTCCGGGAAGTATCAAGCGTTGGGAAATTTGTCTCCAAGGAAAGGACCCTAAGTTTGTGTTCAGCAAACTACCAATGAAAATGTGAGAAGATGGTAACTTCAAAGTAAACACACAGCTGCCAACTGTAAGGTTGTTGTTTAAATGACCAAAACTAGGATCATAAGAATAAGATAGATCATGATGGCAGTTCCAAACTCTCAATATTATTGTTCACTACATGTGAATGCATACTGTCATGTGAATAGCGGGTCATTTGGTGCATGCAGTTAAGCAATAACAACACAATCTTTGTCATGATGAAAGTGTAAATAGTGTAAAATATTTTAGATTTTATGTTTATATATGTTTGTATGGCATTCTTGCCTCGCCTCCAGAAATGCTGCACTTCATTAGTTTCTGTATACCAACTATGTTTGCCTATGACGACAAGATTAGCTGTCAGTTTAGACACATTTTGTTTATGCATTATTTCTGTATGAATCAATTGTTGACAGAAATATGAATTCGAAAAAAACTGTAAACGGGATTTGTTAGATTTATTTATAATGCACTTTTGGTAGCAGTATGTACAAAATGGTAAATGATAAATGTCTATAAAATACGCCAATAATTCACGAAACGTATGTTTATGTTTGCCTCCCATTGTAACTGATGTCAACACTGCTGACATTAATGCCCGAAAGGTCAGCTCAAAAATGTTTTTGTTTTCTGATGCATTGAAGATTATACAGATAACAACAGTTGCCCGGCCTTGATTAATTTAGTATTCATTAGGTACCCTCTTGAGAGTTTAAGCAATACTTTTGTCTTTCGTAAAAAAATGTCTGGGCCCATAAGAAACATACTAACACCACCCTGCATCCCCAGCCCCCACCCACCCACACACACCCCACACCCCTCCAACCGTGGTAAAACAACAACAACCAAAAATTTTACAATTGCTACTGTTCTCCATTGTCAGCAACAACGTGCAACTTCACGCTTCCCGCAGGTTACAGTCCGATGGTGATTGTCTCCCCTGGCTATCCAAACAACTATGTAAAGTAAGTAAAAACTTGGATACAGTTCGTCGGATCAAAATATGTATACACATATAGATACACATCTATATATATATATATAGATACACCGCGCCTTAATAATGTCACCAAATTTATATACGTATTTTATCACGTTTAACCAATATGGATATGAGGCAAGTGTTTCTGTTTCAGAATATATTTCCCTTTCCTTGCAGTGGATTGGACTGTCAGTGGACTATAAATGCACCGATAGGAAGAAACATCTCGGTGGAAGTTCTGTTTGTAGATTTGGAAAAAGTGTCATCGTGCGTGGATGATTATCTACTGTTTAAAGATGGTAGGTAAAACAAGGATGCATGTTGTGTTCCTCTTGGTATTGAGTAAAACAGTTGTAGCTAAAGGTATTTGACCTCCGTGTGGTAACAAGGAAAACAAGATTGAAATCTGGATATTTTCATGATCACTACTTACATATACTCTACTTTAAAGAAAGAAATGATACTAGTATATAACAATTCAAATATTTATTTTAAAATTATTGTTTGACCGTTTTGATGTCGGCGTTATAATGCTAGTTTTTGAAAATGGAATGAATGCACAGCGTTAAAACTTATCTTCGGAAAGTTGCACGTTTACGTTCGAAAGTGTCAACTTGCTTGAAAATGGCATGGAGAAAAAGTGGTTCGCAATATGCACGTAAAGTTCTGAGGAATTGTGACTGTGGGCAGGGACACTGACAATATAAGGCCGTATTGATTTTTGACGATCACTGGCATTTTAGCTAAATGAAATATTGCCACTAGACGTCTGGAGATTGGTGAGTTTCAATCTGCCGTTGCATGTCACCCTCAATGCTTACTAGAGTACTATCAGTGGTTTGTGGGTGAGTGAGTGAGTGAGTTACGAATTAACGTCACATCGGCAGTATTTCAGCCATATCGTGACGAGAACATATTAGATACTGAAATGGAACATGTGTATATTATATAAACCTGTCATCAAAGGACAGTAAAATAACTAGTATATCACAATTAGAATTAAAACTAGCGTGGAAAGTTAAAACTAATAGCAGTATTTGGACAATACAATATAAAAACAGCTATATATCACCAACAACTGAAAGTAGATCACCATACTAGGGACCATGGGGATTTACAGTACCTTTGCTACCTGCATGGACCCTAGTTGGATTTACACCATCCCTTCAGCTGCTGGCGATTGTAATGATTTGTGGAATCTTCGAAAGATGTTCAGCTGTGCTTAGTTTGAGGAGGGTGTCAGCGCAAACCATTTCTACATGTTTATGAGAATGTGGATTCCGAGCCAGAAGACCATATTTTGGCCACTGCTACGACGGTTCAAATGGTGTAATAACGTTCGAATCTGGCATCTGAAAAGTGGCGACGTGTATGGATTAGTGACGAATCACGCTTACTGTTTCTTTAGTGCAATGACGGAAGAGTACGTATCTATCAAAGTCGAAAGGAATCTTGTTTTGCCAGAATTGTGTCGCCAATGTTGTCCGATATGGTGGTGTGAGTGACATGATGTGGGGAGCTATATCCTTCACACAGAATCGAACCGTGCTTTTCGGTACAGAGACGAAACCTTTCACTGGTTCCGATCACTGACCGCCAGAGGCAGTTGTTACAGCACGATAATGTCTATTCAGTATCTTTAGAATGAGAACATTACAGTGCGTCCATGGCCTTCCAAATCGCCCTACCAAATTTTCCTCGAGCATTTGTGGGATGATCTCGGCCGACGCGTACGTGAACGTCAACCGTCGCCCCATGTGTTATATGAGTGAGTGAGTGAGTTACTATTTAACGTCACATCGGCAATATCTCAGCCATATCGTGACGAGAACATATTTGACATTGAAATGTGTTATATGAACTGTCGCAGGCATTACATGAAGAATGGTCAAGAACAAGGTCGAATTAAAAGATTTATTGAACTTTTATAAGCTTGACAGACAGTTAATGTTTTAAACTGTGAAATTTGGCAACAACTGATCCAGTTGTGTTATCTCACTTTAAAGTTAGCAGACTACTTTTTGTTTTAAATACACCATGTGTTTCTTTTTTGGGAGAGTATATTTGCGGCATGTTTTAAGAACTTAACTGCAATATGTCTTTCAGAATATTGGTTTCGAAGAGATCGGAGATTTTCTAGATAATAACGTATTCACCACTTTGCACTCAGGATTCATGCCGGGGGATGGTACTGTATATCAGCTGACATACTTGTATGATTTTATACCACGTGCATTAAACAATGGCAGAGAAGTCAGGTCAGTTTTCTGCGACATTAGCAAGGCATTTGACAAGGCACAGTGAAATTAGAAGCTAATGATAGTAAGAGTAATTTACTTGATTGGTTTTCCAGTTATAAGTATTGTAATCAGCCGTGTTGTCACAACCTAGCTGTTTTGTCAAAATACAGCCTTATTGTCACAACCAAGATTTACTCGCACCCAGCATTTTTGTCACCCAGCCTTTTTGTCACAACTCTGCTTTATTGCGAAAACGAGACTTATTGTCACCCAGCCTTATTTCCCAATCAAGTGATCTGCTGTTACAAACATCACGTGTACCTGAATTCAAAGCAAGAATTCCATTACGAATATTTGGTACAAACAAACTATAGGAAAATATGCAACCCTCACCACTAAAAAGCGAAATCAATATTCTGTTACAATTATCGAAATCAAGTAATCGGGAAAGGTTCGTGTTATCAGCTGTAATCGATGATGATATAGTGTATGCCAAATTGTTGGATTTCTAACAGTGATCATAACTGAGTCACATTTTGATGTTACCTAAAAGAAAAATCTTGTTCTCTTCGTATATCTTCAGTATTTATTTAATGTTATATCGAATCTTAGATACGAATAATTCACTTACGACATTTCATATTCGAGAGAATGTCTTCTGATTGTACACTGAAGACATCGTATACATAATACTACATCCATTAATTAATTGAAGATGCACAATTAATACATTTACGTTTCAGGTACGACGACCGATGCTCAGCAACTGGCAAAGATTTGTGATAGTAGGTCTACTCCCATCGTCAGCTCCAGTAACCATATGACCATCATGTTTCACTCAGACATAGCTGTCACAGGAGGAGGCTTTCGTTTGCAGTACTCATCTGGTAATACTTTTACCAACTGCTTTTAACTGTTTTGTGCATACTTGATGACCAGAAAAATATCAGGTCGAGAAAAAGGTACAATATCGATGATCAGAAAAAACATAATTTCCTCACGACCACAGAGACCCATTATGTGAGAAACATTTGTCTGTTTTTACCCTGTTCCCCATAAGAGGATCTTTTAACTTAAACATTTTGAATCATCAGGTTGAGCGCCCATACGAATAACTCATCTGTCCTCACCTGAGTGTACTCCATTAACCCTAAAGTGTGATGATATTCAACCCGTCCAGTCCCTCTTCATTATCACAAATCGTCAATTTACATTTTTATTAATTGTGAACTATTTTTATATTATGCTTATCATTTCACTCGTTTGGCTTTATGCTGTTACAGCTACCGTCTGTGGATTGTCAGATCTTTCCGCATCTTCCGTCACATGGAAGTACTTGACCTCTCCTGGCTATCCTTCGAGCTATGACAAGTAGGTGCCTACTTTCTTGACAAGTGAATAAAGATTAGCCAGTTTGTTACTAGCAGCACACAGGTGACAAATAACACGTGGTAAAAAGCACTACATACGTGACCGGTACGCAACACCGCAAACGTATTGACCAACGACTTAGCACTGTAAACGTGACTGACGCTAGCACTTAACACGAGACAAGTTAGTGTTACTACGCACGTGACTTGTAAGTTACGTTTCTAAATAATTAGAAATTATTTGAATGGGGTTTTTCTTCACAAGCAGTGCTGTCGTGAATCTCCTATGATTATGGTAAAATGTTCATGACACCAAAGGCCGTTGAAAATCCTTGCGTAAACAGAAGAGTTTTGACTGCAGATATATATGGGTTTTTATAAATTTAAAAATTATACACTTAAAGAATTCATGTGTTTATATATGTTTGTATAATTATCTGTACAAATTCTATTTTCAGCAATTTAAACTGCGAGTGGCAAATTAGAGCACCCTTTGGATATGACATTAAAGTTGAAATAATACTTTTGTCTTTCGAATATTCGTCACTTTGTTCAAGGGACTATCTTGTCTTCAATGACGGTAAGCTAATAGTACAAATTTACACAAGATCCCCAGACAAATATAATCACAGATTTTGTTTCATGTTACTTCTGAGACAATACCTGATTTTTCAAATTTAATCATAAATCCAAAATAATTCATGTCGTCAGTATTTCGACATGAGTAAGCGAATGGCCGTCAGATCAAATTATGCTGTTTTCGATGAAGATGTTTGGGGTTTTTATTTGTAAGAACTTTGGGACTACATGTGTGATAACTAGCACATGTATACTACCCATCAAAAGTTTAGACTCACTGAAAGCGCACACTACATGTTATGTATATATATGTATGGTTACATCGAAGATGAAATTCCCCACTAACTTAGGGAAAACCAACTGCAAACCCTATGCAGATGAATTGCACGAGGATCATGCATCAAATTGCTGAAAAGCTTGTGCAAATATCGTGCATGTGAACAGCTGCGTTTTGGTGTAAAGTTTTGTTAAGAATTTGCCAATTTTCACTTAGTTTCATCATTTATTGAACCCATGACAAGAATCTTTTCAACGTTACAAATTTGTTTTACAATACATCAGTTCATGTACCTTAAACAGTATGGAATATGTTGCAAAAAATCTAGTTTAGGACAGCTGACTGAAGTAAGTGGCTATATTTACACTAGTGAGTCTAAACTTTTGATGGGTAGTATATTTTATCACAGTTATTCCAAATATTTTCTATTAGCATCAGCTTCATTTGAATACTGGCATGCATGACACTAAGTTAGTAAATATCTTTCCTCAAGGTACATCGCATTGGGCTCCTCAGTTGGGTAAATATTGCAGTTTTTACAACAACGAACAGGTTGTCAGCTCCGGCAACTATATGACTATCACCTTCCACACCGACAGCTCTGTCACTGGACCAGGTTTTAATCTGAAGTACAAAGCTGGAATAATCCCTTCAACAACAACCACAGGTACAATAATTGTGTTTTGGTGATCAACCATTTATCAGTTGGGTGTAACAGTGAGTGAGTGAGTTAATATTTATCGTCACATCGGCAATATTTCAGCCATATCATGACGAGAACATTTTATTATTATGTTAAAAATGAATGTATAAAGTTAGAAATTAAAAAACCTGTTGACGAAGAACAGTAAAACTACTAGTGTATCAAAGATATCCAATTAAAACTAGCAATTAAATCTAAAATATTGGAACTATAAATGACAATACAATATAAAAACAGGCTATAGGTCGCCAACAACTGAAGGTAGATCACCATACTAGGGACCATGGGGCTTTACAGTACCTTTGCTACCTGCATGGACCCTAGTTGGATTTACACCATCCCTTCAGCCGTTGGCGAAGATAAGAAATGTTAGCCCAAATTAAAATAACAAGAATACTACGTTTAAAAATCCTGGTAAGTTTACATTGACTCTCAAAGTTTTGGGACTTACGTACCCTCTCAGGGGGACAATAATTTTACGATACTTCAACCCTCCTTCAGGGTACAGCCACTAACTATCTAAGTTACTAATCAAAACTACCAATTATTAAAACACATCTAACTACAGAACATATTTATCAAAATTCATTAATTAAATCAATTTCTTTTAAAAAAGCAAGAATTAAATGAAGATGAACAGTATTAAAAAGATCCTTAACAGTTTTAACATTGAAATATTTATCCCTTATGATGGAGAATTTGACACAGTCAAGCAGGTTTTCTCTGAAATACATTGCGCGGACGGCAGGTGCTTAATTTTATATTGATGTGAATGCGTTTCGTCTTTCGTGAACTAACGTATTTAAACTCATTTCTTCCCACAATTGCTTTCAAATCATTTGAAGAATCTTTACACACGACAACCCACAGTAATATTCCACAGAACAATCAATATATAAACATATCTGAAAAAATGAAACTTGAACCTTTTTGGAAGTTTATTATATGTGAAAATAATACAATTGATTGTACCATTATATTCTTCCATCTAAAAGACGGAGGACAAGAGTTGCATTCATCCATACTCTGTAATATTATTTGTATATATGTCACTAAGGTGCTGACTACTCCTTTGTGTATATATGGTCCAGAAAGCTATTATCTCAATGAAATGTCTGATAAAGGGATAAATGTAATGCTGTGAATAATATTGGACATAATATCTTGTTTTACAAAATCAAACATCTAATTCTCTGAATAAACAAATCGATATATCGAACCACGTCAATATATATGAAAAAAACATTCACTATGTTCAAAAGGAAACAGTAAACCTGATATATATGTATTTATTATGAAAGGTTACCATACCATGCTTTTTTGTTGACCTTCAAATAGTGAACTGACCCGTGTCGCCTTGAACATCATCAACGAGAGGTCGGTAAGGTGACCTTGTGGTTTAAGCGTTTGATCGTCACGTCCGAGACACGGGCTCGATTCGCCACATTAATTAGTAAATGAGTGAAGCCCATTTCTGGGGTCCCGGTTGTGATATTGCGGGAATATTCCTGAAAATGGTGTAAAGTATACTCACTCATCATCACAGAAACTCCACACGAACCCAGTGTTGAAGAACTGTTTAATATCACTGAGATACCTTCCTTGTTTCAGGGTGTGGCGACGATGATACCATAAGCTATGAGACAAAATATATTGAATCACCGAATTATCCTCTGTCCTATCCCGAGTAAGTACACGGCACACTTTTTAGGATAAACACGGCAACATAGAGGTTCAAATCTAGGGGATAACACCACAACGAGTTTCTCATTAACACCGTGCTTATCATTTGCTATCACTTCAAAAACAATATTATGAACCTTTCGTTTGTCTCCATGCTAAGCTGATTCATACAGTTTGCACATCAGTTTTTGGATTCATATCCCAAGGAACAGAAATAAATACACTAACAATCCTTATAACTGACTTGGACAAGGAACATTATCTTACCTCACACATAAATGTCGCATTGTGATTGGCTGAGCGCTCGTCTATTACTTTCAATGTAACCCGCTTGCAAGCGAGTAACATTTCAATGTACCCCTTCGGTCTCGGTGAACATAAACAACATCGATGGTACATCAACCCATGGGCCCCGAGGGACCAGTGAACAACTCATAATATATGATACATGTCATAAAAAAACAAAACCGGATGCACTAAAACAACCTATTTGGGAGGCATTAGTCGTAGCAGTAAGGAAGTATATTATAAGTTGTTCACTGGTCACGAGGGTGGCATGGGTTGATGTACCCTCGATGTTTGTTTATGTTCCCATGGGCCCCGAGGGACCAGTGAACAACGTATTTATCTTACGGAACACCTTTATGTTAATTTTGAATTGTTTGTAGGACTGGTATAAATCTTTTTGTAGCCATCGCTAGATTTTGCCGACAAGAAAAACAGATTAGAGTTATCTCTCTCCATTGATTTGCATTCGCAAAACATTGGTAATTTCCGTACATCATACGTGATTAAATGTTATTCGAGATAAAGAATTACTACCACGAAATACCAAATGAGTTGCCATTGACAGCGGGGTACATTGAAATGTTACTCGCTTGTAAGCTGTGTACATTGAAAATAATAGACGAGCGCTCAGCCAATCACAAAGTGACATTTATGTGTGAGGTAAGATAAATAACAATACATAAATGAAAAAGAAGTTGTTCATCCATATGTTGGTGTCCTTCCTTAAATTACATCAGACAACAATCCAGGCGAAGGCATACATACTGTGGTATGACGTGTATCGGGGGATTGTTTCATTCTAATTCCAGCCAGTGAGCTGCCTCAGCACGATGAGTTCATATGACCTGTATGAAGCATATATAATGGCAATGCCTGTGATGTTGAGTGGTCGTCAGATCATGCTATAATTTGTTTCAACTTCTGTGCTGAATTTCTCTTGTCATATGTACATGCGGAACACATGGTTAATACTAAGATCCATTTCAATTTTAGCAATGCGGACTGTGAGTGGACAATCAGCACATCCATTGACGGATATGTAATCCATGTTGAAGTAGAGTATTTCAACATTGAGTACGAGAGCACGTGTTCCGATGATTACGTACAGCTCTATGATGGTAATGGCTTACGATTAATCATGTATATCCTAGAAATGGGTAAAAGAGACAGTTGCCTTAACTGAATTTAAGTCGCATCCTGTCCGCTTAAGGAGAAGCCGTCAGCAACCTGTGTGACGTCGGGTTTTTCCCCTGCTGTTAAGCGGATATGCTGTCCACGATGACGAAGCACATAATAGACACACGTCTTGTTTAACAGCATTATTTGGATTAATCAAGTATTGTGGTCTGTCCTCAACTCATTTGGGATTATCGAGATTTAATGTATACTTTTTGCGATAATTATAGTTGATGGAATTGAGGAACTCTAGTAAAATTGTCATCCCCAAATAAGAACAAATCAAATACTTTTTCAAAGCAATGTATCTCTTAACAAGAGTGTGTAACATTAGCTTGTGTGATTTGTGTAATTATCATAATCTTCTCCAATGTTATATTCTGTCAATAGTCACGACTTTTGAAAGCTCGATGGGTCGATGGTGTGGAACAGATGGACCTAATACACAGACTACAGGGCAGACAATGAGGGTTCAATTCAACTCCGATGGTTCGACTTCCCTCACGGGATTTAAGTTGTCCTTTACGGCCGGTGAACCAACATCTGGATGTAAGTGTTTTAGTTTTATTTGTTCCTTTCAGAATAGACTAGGGTAGCCCAGAGGTTAAAGCATTCGCTCGTCACGCCGGGGACCAGGATTCGATTCCCCATAAAGAATGAAACTCCAATTTGGTTTTTCCTTCCCACCTTGATATTGTTGGAATATTGCTAAAAGTGGCGTGCAAAACATACTTACTCAAGGCAGCCTTAAAGAAATCAGACATACACTGACCCATCTTGCCAAAATATTAAGTCACGGGTTTAATGGATGGAATTGTCGTTTCATCGTAATTGTCCTTTGACCTGCATGTGTGTCAGGTCATGATGAAGTTGATCTAATAGCAGGTGATTACTAAATGGTTCTGCGTCACACTGTGATATTAATGCGTATATTAACTCTGGTTTAAAACATCACGGTTCCCATTTTGTACACGAGAACCTCCCCCCTTGACGGTTTTATACATCAACTGAAGTGTCACAAACCAAGACAATATCAGACAGGTCAGGGTTTGACATCATCTTGACATAGCCGGAAATCAAAATATTACTGGCCTGTTGTAATGGAACCCATTATAGTTACAACACCACGATTATGTTGCAATAATATACATGTTCCCAAAAGTTTAGGATTCCACCTCAAAACAATACTTGCTTGTTACAACTTGTACTTGCTCATTATAGGGGATTAGGATCTAAGAGAATGCAATATTTAAACTAGACCTTTAATTTGCCTGGGTTGTATTTGTTTGTTTGTTTGTTTGTTTTGTCGTTGCCTTTTGCTTTTCGTTTTGTTGTTGATGTTTGAGGGGGGATTTTTATTTTAATTTTCACTATATCTATATACTCAATTTTGGGGATTAAAATCTCAGAGAATGCAATATTTAGAAAAGTCCTTGATTTTGCTTGCGCTGGTTTATGCTATTTTCTTTTGCTGTATTATTTATTTTGTTCCATTTGTTTTCTTTTCTTATTCAGCTGCCGCGTCCACGAACATCGCAGCCATACTTGGAATTGTATTTGGCGGGATCACAGTTGTGAGCATTGCAACCTGCTGCTATTGTCGATTTTGTTTCAAGAAGAAATCCAGTCCCAACGACCAACAGCAGAGGAACAGACCACGTGGTGGCAACGTCTCCTTCATCAACGTCATCAGCTACCCGCAAACTACGCCAACTGCTCCTACTGCTCTTCCGATTACATTTGCACCACCCCCTTCTTACAATGATGTCGTGAGGGATGATCCCCCACCGTATTGTCTGGCAGTTCCACTATCAGACATTCAGCTGGTTGTGACGTCATCCCGTAGCGGTGCATCGCAATCTCAAGGGATAGATAACCCAGCAGGCCCCATTTGAGTTTCATATGGCGTACATGTTTGTATTACTGAAATAAACAGAAAAAGACACATACATGTATGCTCATGCACAAATCAGTGTCTTCATCCATCATAATGTCAATTTTCCTTTTGGCGGGTTATGGCGGTGGGACCATTCCGTACCATATTTTCGGGGAAATCTGTTTTTTGATGATTTATTTGCTTACTGGCATAATGACGAGAATATACAATATGTCCCCCATTTACATGGAATCTTTTAAATGTACCTCTGGCAATATGTCTTCGTGGTGTAATGTACGCAGTGGTGGAATGTCTCAAATGTTTGGGGGGTTTTAAATTATGTTAAAATGTTTTTATCAAATATGTATTATGTTGATTGTTGAACTTTGATTATCAAAGAAGCAGATGTCATGTTCTGCAAGTGGAAGATCATTCACCGACAGTTCGCTTTTAAAGAAAGATTGCCCAAAACATGTGATAACTGTGTATGGATACCACACAATGGCTCCAAGGCACCCTTAGAAAATTGGCTTGGATGTCGTTTGGTATATATCAATATTTCTTATTGTTTTTGATCTTTGTAATACATTTATTTGACATTTCAAATGATGCATTTTTGTCCGTGTTATGTTTATGATTATTGTTATTATTATTATCGTGTGATTTTATTAGTAATTAAATATTATCCATATGCTTATGTACGATTGCGCGGGCATGTGCGTGTTTAGTATGTCTGTCACGGGTAAATCGTAAGACTTTACTGATGTTTTCACTTTGATGGAATCCACGAGCACGGCTGATGAAGAATTGAAATGTGTGGGGCATCTCTGTGTGAAGGACACTAGCACTATAATTGTCAGTTCTTACATGGAAAATAGAAGTTCAAGAGAATACAAGGTCTTAACTATCCTCATGACAAATTCCGTTTGGTGTAAAGGAGAAAATAGCCTTAAAGACTGTTTGAGTTGAACACTGAAAATCAGTGATTACACCAGGGTAAGCATGTCGTGTCTTGCCGGTAGCACCAGCCTTTGCAAAATTGAAGCATCCCAGTGACAAAATAGAGTAATGCTGGTGTTCTGGCCGTTGACATATTGGCATTATGTGTTCCGAGTTATACACTAATTGCGCCAACATGTCAGTTTCTAGGCATAGGTCACAGACTCTGCTAACGTTTCCATATGTATGGAAGACTACCTGCGTTGTGAGAAGTTGATCAATAAAGCAGATACATTAGAAAACAAGTCAGCAGAAAACCTGATTCACATCATTGCATGTGGCATAAAATTCATTGTTAATCTATGACAGAGACCGACACAGTTTGAAAAACAATGTGTACTAGGTATTTACCCTTTTCATAAACGTTCCACACGTTGGGTGAGTAAACGTGGATTTACACACATATTCTATTTCAGTTGTGTTATGACACACTTGGAGAGGTGACCTCAACTTTAGTGCTTTATCATGGCATTCTTGAACTAATCATGTCAGTCAGGAAACGAAACTAGGTCCACTTGGCCACCAGTGTCCCATACACCATAAACATATCAACATTCACACCAAGACATTTTTCAGGACAACAACTTATCAGCCATAGATGGTTTTTACAAGAATGATATTGATCTTCTGTGTTATTACATTCATGGTGACATGGATTTCACATCTGCATTTAGGGAAAGGAGAAATTGTCTGTATTAGAGCAGTGTGTTCATGTAGACAGTATACACTTAAGTTGTTACTACCACTGCAATTATCGTGAAGAAGGAATCATCCCTCTGCCACGTTTCTGTGGTCTGTCCGACTACCGCATTCCAATAACGGTTAATAATACTAGTTTCCGCAGCTTCTGGCATACAACTCTGGACCTGAGACATTCAAGCGCATGTACAATATTAACAATACAACACACATTACATCATAATTTTAAAACTAATAACGGAAATAGAGATTAATACACTAGCGTAGTCATATTGTATTTACAACACGAGTGCCTGAAAATTGTTATCATTTTTCTGGCACGAGTGTTGTAAATACAATATGACATCTACGCGAGTGTGTTGATTTCTTTATTATCTATTACTTTTCAGAAGGTTTTAAGTGCAAATAGCAATGTTTTCCCGACAGTCAATGTGGAAGGCGATCTAAATATAGCCTGGAAGTGTATGAATGCAAATACGGCTAGGTCAAGGTCGCTGCGCACTGACGTCTAAAAAATCTAGCGCCAATTTAAAAGAGTCAAATTGTGACAAATACACGTAAAACGGGACACAGTGTCGATTTCAATTACCATATTATTCACTTCTAATAATATTTTTTAAAATCATTCGTAAAATTTGAATTTCTGATAGTAACCTTACAATTCGAGAGCACTATCACTCAATTCGAAAGACTGGACTCCAACTTTCAAAGAACACTGACATGAAAAGTTCAAAAGAAAGGAAAGGGACAAGATGGGTTGCTGAACTCTTGTTTTTATTTGGTCAAAGGAATTTATTGGTCAGAAGAATGAAGTTATTCACCATCCGACTAATCGGAAAAAACGAGTGGACAGATTCGCCGATTCTGTTAACTCGCACTCGTCGGATCAGCTGATCTGGTGACACTGGCAGTCGCACCCGTTGAATTTCCCACATTGATGTTGAAGACACTACCGTAGATAGGACTGGCGAATATTGTGCGAATAATTTCAGAAGATATGGCTTTGTTGTTGTTCCGGACTGCAACTATTTGTGAGTTTTGCTTGGACTTGTCAGGGTTGGAGTCAGGAATATATGCGCCGTCACAAGATTTCGGGAGAGACAACTGTCGGTTTGCCTGAGTCTTAATTTGTTCATTTTCTTGACTAGTTAAAGGAACTACGTTACCTCTACGCAGCATACATTTTCCTGGAGTGAAGCGGTTGACTTTCCAATCACCAATATGATATATTAATCCGCGTTGTGCGGTTCTTGATAGGAACGCAAAATATCGCTTTATTTTAACGATATTTTCATTTGTTAGAACGTGGGTAATAAAGCTAGTGATAAAGCAAAAATATTTCACTCGTGACATAAACTTGATATGAAAGGGGAAGCTCATTTGATATCCTACAAATAAGGTAATGCACTTTCAGTAACATCAATCATGGTGGATCCGAAGCAAATAGAACATCTGTGAGGTGAACTCGATTGGCGAGAAAGGTCACCGTGAACTCAGTAAGATACTGACGTCTGAATTTTGACGGATGCAGCGGTGTAACGTTGTCACATTGAAACAAGACTGTCTCTCTGTCTGTTGATACTCAGAAGAAGGTGGTGTTGACGAATTTGGTTGATATAGCAATTTACTTTCGGATGACTCTTAACTAGCAGCAACAAGTCGGATGTCTGTGTTGCTACAGAATCTGTCCACAGAGTTTGATGCCAACTGTTCATTTGCCTTCGTTAGAGACGGTGTGTTCAGTTTCAACCTTCAACCCGTGAAGGTCTGGGTTAGAATATCGATCTTCAGTAACCCATGCTTGTCGTAAGAGGCAACTAACGGGATCGGGTGGTCAGACTCGCTGACCTGGTTGACACATGTCATCGATTCTCATGCTGTTGATCACTGGATTGTCTGGTCCAGATTCGATTATTACAGTCCGCCGCCATATAGCTGGAATATTGCTGAGTGCGGCGTAAAACTAAACTCACTCACCCAGTTTCAAATATCAACAAGTAATCGTGATATATTAGAGAAACAGAATGGTCAGTTTCTCAGAGTCTGTGTCTGTAGGTACCGTACCCGTGGAGATCCGAGTAACACTTAGTCTTCGGTAACCCATGCTTGTTTCACACATGTCATCGTATCCCAATTGCGTAGATCGATTTTCATAATACTGATCACTGGATTCTCTGGTCCAGACTCGATTATTTACAGACCGCCGCCATATAGCGGGCATACTGATCAGTGCGGCGTTAACCACCAACCCAATCACCCAACCAACCGTATCTGTGCGGTGCTGCTTCAGCGCATTTGTTGTCGTCAATGCAAATGTCTCAAAACAGGGACATATACCGGTGTTGTTGGTTTATTTCCCACTTCTGCAGACGGTTCCTGTTTGTTTGCTCCAATGTTTTTCTCAAATTAGACACATGACATGCAACCGCTGTGGCAGTAACATGTCAATTATGTGGATGGAAGACTCGGATAAAGTAAGGGAGGGGAATCTTGTTCTGCCACTTCTTGGCAAATCTTGTGTTGAAGACAAATGTACCGATCTCATAAACGAGTTGTGGAGCTCAGTCGTGCGTTGACATGACGTGCAACCGCAGACTGTAATTCTCCAATTGAAGACATCCTATAGCGGGCTATGTTGGGGTTGTGAGCAGTCGTTTTCTCACTTCCATTAAGTCGACAAACATGCCAAATTAAAAAATGCCTTTGAACTCAATCGAACAATTATTGAAAACAACAGAATGATTTTAAACACACCAAAGGCATGTAGTGACATCATAAAAAAATGAGTAAAAAAACAGAAAATCTTGCTATTAACGCACAGCTTTCTAGCTTACTTGTAGGTATTATCTACACAAAGCATGAACTGTTTCGAATGACGCTTGTGGATAATAAGCCTTGTAGTTTCTGTAAGACAGAAGATGAAAACATTTTTCATGTATATGTTGACTGTCACTGTGTCAATAACCTCTGGAAAAAGCTTGAAACGATATTGAACCGTATGTACCCAAAGGCATTTCATTGACTAAGCAAACCATATTATTTGGACTTCCAAGCACACACACTCTCATGAATCATATTATTCTCGTTACCAAAACATTCATTCATATTCAAAGCATTAAACAAGATAGAATTACTTTTTAAAAACTTTTGAGTGAGTGAGTTAACATTTGTCATCACATCGGCAATATTTCAGCCATATCGTGACGGGAACAATTTATTGTTATATTATAGATCAAGACAATTAGAAATTAAAAGTCTGTTGTCGAAGAACGGTAAAACTACTAGTATATCACAGATATTAAAGTAAAAACTAGCATTCTATCATAAAATGCTATTATTAAATAGAACCATGCAACATAAGAATGGGCTATAGGTTGTCAACAGCTGAAGGTACATCATTTGAAAAACTTTTAGAAATTATTAAAGACATTTTCAACATTGAGAAATATATGACCAAGAAATCCCAGACTTTTAACTACTTCTACAGAAAATGGATGTCTCTAATGCACATGCTTGACATACTTTAGAATTGTTGCTAAATGAATGTGTACAACTATTATTAACAGTAACATATACTATATTCACTGACTATATATGTATATACCAGACCTTTAACTACATCCACAGAAAATAGAGGCCTTTGGGATACATATTTGATTCACTTCAGTACTATTGTTAACCGAAATATGTACAACTATAACCACTATATTAATGCTGAGGACATCCACTTTTTGTATACGTAGCTTCCACAGAAAATAGATGCCTTGAGTGCACATACTTCACTCATGTTAGTACTATTGCTATCCGAATATGTACAACTTTTATCAGTATATTAATGTATACTATATCCATTTTCTGTACATGTATATTCCATTCCTTTATCATGTTTAACAGCTTCCACAAAATGGAGGCA